ATTTCACTAAACCCAGAAGTCCTATAAAGTTGACCATTAAAACCTAACCTGCACAAAAAGCCTTCCTTAGGGAGTCAGCAGCAAAGCAGCAATTTAGCCTAACCACACAGCTCAAGGCCTTGTCCCCACAGGAAGTTCCCCCACTTCATAAGTAAGCAAAGGACAACAAATTAGATCCAGTGCAGAGTTTAAGTGGTGGGAACAGCAAATAATCCAACACAGAACTGAAAGAAAAAACAGAGTAACCACAACCAGAGACAAGGTTTGTTATTAACTAGTAAAGGTCACATTTCACCAAAAAACACCTATAACCACTAGAAGGCCTGGACGTCCCCTGGGATAACAAGCCAGAAAGGAGGGACAACCAGGAACACCACCAGTGCCACAGGGCCTGCCTGCAGTCCTGAGGTTGGAGCCAGGGACTGGACCCCCTCCCACAACCATGCACACTGCCATCACCACCACCAACGAGGTAAGGAGCATGCCAAAAACATCATGTCCATGTGGGTGGCCCACCACAGCCACCACAATAACCATGGCTGCCATGAAAGTGGCTAGGTACCACAACCACCATGTACATGGTCTGCCAGCTACTGGAGTACATTGACACAAGGAGAGTCACCAGCAGAGACCAAAGAAAAGAAGAGGATGTCTCTCTCCACAAAGCTCATTCCAGAGTGACAAAAGAAATATCTGCTGTACAATAATATTGGGGGACCCGAACACACCTCTCAGCATTGGACAGATCATCTAAGCAACAAATCAACAGAGTAATGATTACACTTTCAGAAGTAGAGAAGAAATCTAGGGGAATTAGAGTGGGATGGGGAGAGATTGGACAAGGGGCATAAAGAATAAGTATGATTTGTAACAATACATATGCTAGTAATATTGATTTGATCAACAGAGGTCAACGTTGAACCCCCAAAATATGTATAATCAATTGACTCAATAAAAATTAAAAAAAAAAAGATACCCTATCATTTGCAGCAACCTGGATGGAATTGGAAACCATTCTGTTAAGTAAGTCAGGCACAGAAAGACAAATACTGCACGATCTCACTCATATGCAGAATCTAAAGCTAAACAAAACAAAATTTGTTCTCATAGAAGGAGAGAGTAGAATAATGGTTACCAGAGACTGGGAGGGAAGGGGGGTGAGGGAGGAGGAGAAGGGGGGGACTAACAGGTACAAGACTATACTCTCTACTGAATCGTTGTGCAGTACATGCATATATTGAACCAACACACTGTACCCCACAAAAATAACATTGAAAAAAAAATCTACCAGAAACTTTAGTTATTTATTTTTTTCTTTTTTTTTAAAAGATGACCGCCAAGGGGATCCTAACCCTTGACCTGGCATTGTCAGCACCACGCTCTCCCAAGTGAGCAACCAGCCATTCCTATATAGGATCCGAACCTGTGGCCCCAGTGTTATCAGCACCACACTCTCCCAAGTAAGCCATGGGCCGGCCCTCCAGAAACTTTAAATATGAACACTACATGGATAACCTATTACCTCACCAATAAAATTTCTTATGAATCAAGTTAGTAATTGATTGTAAATATGACAAACCTCCCTATCCAGCATAAATTCCATGATCCATCATTTCAGTAACATTCATGCCAATACCCCAGATTCCTTGACCCTAAATTTCATCATATCTTCCTAGCAAAAACCCCAGCTCAATTTTTCCAAAAAGTCTATTTCAAGCCTTCAATACTTCCCTCAAACCTTGGAAGCCTTCTTTTCTCCCCTCATTCTTAGCAGATGGCTTTACCTTCTATATTGTAGAGAACAGAAAAGCCATAAAATTGGAACAAGTTATCATCTAAATGACAAGGTCCCAGTTTTACTAATATCTGAAACCATCCTATTCTTCTCTCATGTTATAATAGAGGAGCTTCTATCTAAACTAATAATGCCACTTATGCTTAAAATCCCACCCTACCTGCCTCTTCACAAAACACATTGTCAATCTCTCCTTCTCAATTGGATTCTTCCCACTGGCTTTTAAAAAGGTCTCTCTCTTCAAGACAAAATGGAAACAGCTGGTCTGATGGTAGTGGGTTATAAGAACTTATTAATATTAGTGTCACTAAAGTTGGTAGACAACCCCCAACTGCTAAATTTGATTGGCTTAAAAAAGAAAACGGGGAGGAAAGAAAGAATGAAAGAAAGAACAACTGACCAAATGAATGAACAAACAAAAGAAAGAAAAGAAAAGAAAGAGAGTGACCACAATAAAATGTTAAACTTTCAGAAGGAGAGAAAAGACCTATAGTTACTAGAGGTGGAAAAGGGGGAGTGGGGTTAGGGAGCAATTGGGCAAGGGACACAAAGAGTAATTAAGGTTTGTAATGACGAACATGCTATTGATTTGATCATCACATACTGTGTAAAATTCTGACAGTCAACTCTGTAAGCCATAATATGTATAATCAAAAGTAAATAAATAAATAAAATTTTTAGGGAAAAAAAAGAAAACAGAAACAATAAACAAATACCCATAGCCTAATTACTGACTGTAGAGGATTGAATTATGTCCCCCCAAAACTCCCTGAAGCTTGAGTTGTGTTCCCAAATTTTACATATTAGGAACTTAGCCCTCACTGTGACTGTTAAGAGGGTGGGAAATCCTATGGTAATTGTAAGGTGAGGCCTTGAAGAGGTGATCGGATTGTAGGACCATGTCATAGTGAATGGATTAAAAATAGTGGTCAGGGGTGTGGTTCTGAGGGCTTTAAAAGAAGAGGAGAATCTGTCTTTCTCTCTCTCTGCTCTCGCTGCTTCCACCATCTTGCAATATGAGACCCTGGGTCACTGTTGCCACCACCAGATGGACTTTGGACTACCCAGCCTCAGAAACTGTAAGCGATAAATTTCATTTTCTTTATAAATCACCCAGTTCTGTGTATTTTGTTATAAGCAACACAAAACAGACTAATACACTGACCTATCGCCTGCCTTTTTCAAATTTCCCCAAAGAGTTGTTATTTACACTGTCTCCACTTATTCATCTCCCACTCACTTCTCCATCCATACCAACCTGGCTTTTGGATCCAGCACGCCACCACAACAGCTCTTCACACCTATGAATTCCAGGTTACCAAGGTCAAAAGACACATTTCTTCCTTAATTTTATTTGACCTCTTAGCACTATTTGGCACTGCAGACTACTTTCTCTTTCTTTAGATACTACTCCCTTGGCTTTCATGACAAGAAGACACATTTCTTCCTTAATTTTATTTGACCTCTTAGCAGTATTTGGCACTGCAGACTACTTTCTCTTTCTTTAGATACTACTCCCTTGGCTTTCATGACAACATCTTGGTTTTCCTCCCATTATTTTGGCTGCTCTTGATCCTCTCCTTTGCAGGTTCATGCTTCTCTATGCAGCCATTAAATGCTGAACTTTCTTTAGGCTCCATCCTAGGCCCTCTGCTCTTCTTACGTTCACCTATACCTGCTAGCTTTAATTATCACTTATTTGCAAGAAGACTTACAAATTATTATCTCCAGCCTAGGCACTTTTCTGAGCCTCAAAATCCATCTATCTAACAGCCTCTGCCTGGTTATCTCATAAAGCACTTCCAGATTAAAATATTCAAAACAGCCTCTCTTTAAACCTGATTCTTGCCTGCTGTTTCCATCACCAGCTATTAAGTAGCATGAGCAAGAAACTGAGTCATCCTTGACTTCTCCCTCTCTCTCTGTGATACAATCCATGAAGTCATTTCAGTTCTACCTCCTAAATATTTAATTTATCCACTTCTCTTCATCTCCTCTACCCTGGTCCAAGCTACATCATCTCTCTTAAAGACTACTGTGATAACTTCCTTTTGTAGTTGACTTCTCCCCAAGACATTCTCCACATTGTGATACGCTGATATTTACAAAACCTAAGATAAAGGAAAAACTCTAACATGACCTACAAGGTCCTGCCCCTGCATGGCCCGACACCTACTTACCATTCCAGCTCTGTCTTGAACTATGCATGTTTTTTTTCAGTCTCTTTTACTTAATTTTGTTCCTCTTGGCCTTGCTGTCGATTGGAATGCTCTTCCCTTTCTCTTTGCCTCATATTCTCCTACCTATCCTTCAGATCTCAATCAAATGTCAACTCTCTTGAGGCTTTCCTTGACTTCAGTGGCCAGGTCATACAAACCTATCACAGACATTTAGGGCCCCAGATATGTCTTCAAACATTTCTTTGTGTGTCTTTTTTTTTTCTTCCTTTTTTTACTACTGTCTGAAGTGTCAGCTCCATGGAAATTATCTAATTTTACATGCTACCCTCTGCCTTGCAAAGTGTGTAATGCTTTATAAATATTTTTGTATGGATGGGAATGAGAAAGAGCTTTCGATTCCTTTTATCCACATGTGAAATTTAATTACATTTAAATTTAATTAATTTGTATGCAAAAAATCTACCTAAAACTTAAAAAAAGTGTTAGTGATCAATGAATCTAACCTATAACAACATGCACATATTGCACCAAGATATATATGCAAGGATGTTCACTGCAACACTGTAATACTATCAATCTGGAAACAACCTAAATATTCACCACTAGGAGAATGGTTAAATAAATTGTGATATATGCACAGCTTGGAATATAACACAGCAGTTAAATAAAATGACACAGAAAGAAAACCTAAGGTATATTGTTGAGCAAAAAAGGCAAATTACAGAATAACATGAATAGCATGCCTCCATTTCCTATACAAAAAACTGCATATAATTTGTGCCTGAAATGTATAAAATGAAGTCTGAAAGGAAACTATTAACTGTGGTTACCTCTAAGAAGAGATAAAATGAGAGGAGTAGAATCAGGGACTTCTACTTTTCACTGTACTTATTTAAGTATTTTTTAAAGTCTTTTTTACATGAATGTATTACTTATATACTTTAAAAACAATAAAAGGGAAAAGGATTTAAATAAAAAGTACTAGTGAGTGCTGTAACTACAAAAGGGCATCATTCAAAATTTACCTTTGTAAGCTGAGTGGGATCAAACCGAAGAACCTTTTGGTTACAGCAGGGATAAATTCCAGTGCCAACAGTACTCAATGAACTTGCTGTGGTAGGGTAAACTACTGTTTCTGAGTGGTACTGACAATGCGAAAATTCAATACAGAGAAAAGCCTGAATAAAAGAAATACATGAATTACTGAATAATAAAATATATTGAATAAAAGAAATATATGATAATTATTGTTCCCACAATAAAATTATACATCTCAAAAATACTTTACTCAAGACCACATATTGCATGTTCCATTTATGTGAAATGTACAGAAAAGGATGATCTATAGATAGTCAAAGTAGATTAGTAGTTTCCAGGGATTGGAGTTTATAATAGGGAGTGGCAGCAAATAAACATAAAGGATCTTCTGGGGTGATGGAAATGTACAAAAATTGGATGGTGGTGATGTACAACTCTGTAAAATTTACTAAAAACTAGTGAATTGTACAGTTAAAATAAGTGAATTTTATGGCATATAATTGTACCTCAATAAAGCTACTGAAAAGCAAAAAACAAAATCACTTTACTTAAAATTCAGATGAATTAAATTGATTTTGATGCATATTTAATTTTACAAATGGGCAATCACACCAAAAATTTTCCAGAGACTTCTGATCAAGATGGTGGAATAGATGGTCCTCAGCTCACCCTCTCCCATAGTCAACCAATTTACAACTATTAAAAAGCAACGAAAAATGGCAGCGGGTCTGGAGCGCCCGCGTCAGGAAACAGCGCGATCCTGAGAGCTGTGTGCTGTGATACCAGAGTATTGACTGCATTTCCAAGAGCAACAATCACTTCAAGGCTGGCCCTGGAAGTACACGGAGCAAGAGCTGGCAAAAGTAGCTGTGCCCTTCATATGAAGTTGCTTGGAGGCTACAAGGGAGAAGAGGGCTTTGGTGGCCCCAGGCAAGCAAGACCACTGACAGGGTCCCTGTGGACCCACACAGGAGTGAGGGGCCACAGACAACAGAAAAAAGGAGTTACTCAGAGGCTGATGAGTCATCTCAATGGACCAGCACATGGTCTGTCCCATGGGAATTGTTTGGAGTGTGGGCCGTGGAGGACACGAGCTCACTGTGGGAACATGGCATACAGCATGGATAGCTGATATGCTCTCCAATCAGCGCAGGACCACTCAGTGGAGACTGTTCAGGAATGCCAAACTGCAAGGGGTGCAGTTGGCTGAAAAGACTCA